GACATAAACAAAGCCATTTTTACTATCAGCTTGCTTTGAAGATTTAAGTCATAACTTTAAGAAGAAACTAAAATGAATAGAGAACCAAAAGTGGACACTGTGAGAACCAGAAGTGGACACTGTGCCTCCCATTACCTCAGCACAATAGAGTAATAACTCATGTTATTTTTTGTATATCACATAAGCTTTCTTGCAATCCTTCTTCCCCATAGCTTGACTACCCCCAACAGGAGGCCCGTGTCTGGGATCAAACTCAACCATATGGTGTGACCCACTACTTGGGGGTCTCATATGGGAGCATTCCCACAGGTATTCTGTTCATACCAACGTGCCTCTGTATCTTCTTCCCATAGCAAGTTGTAACATTATTTTGTATCTCCTTCTTTCAACTGTGAAATAAATGCTTATGTATACATTAGGGATTTAGTAAAGGATATTGATTGGCAATGAAAGAAACTATGAAGTTTCTGTTGATTTAGAAGATGAAAAGACTTTATTTTTACTGTACTTTAGGTTCAGGTACATGTGCAGATCATGCAGGATTGTTGCATAGGTACATACATGGCAAGGTGGTTTGCTGCCTTCATCCCCCCATCACCTATATCTGGTATTTCTCTCCATGTTATCCCTCCCAATCCCGAAAAGACAATTTTAAAATAACATCCTGGGCCAGACTCAGTGACTCATGCCTGTAATCTCAACACTTTGGGAGGCCAAGGAAGGAGATCACTTGAGGCCAGAAGTTTGAGATCAGCCTGGGCAACACAATGGCACTCTATATTCAAAAACTGTGGTGGCTTGCACCCACAGTCCTAGCTACTTGGGAGACTGAGGTGGGAGGATCTCTTCCGCCCAGGAATCCGATGTTACAAAGAGCTATGATTGCGCCAGTACACTCTGCTTAGCAGAGGGAGACTTGTCTCTAAAAATTAAAAAATAAAGAACAATATGTTCATTAAACATATTTTTTTTGAGGCGGAGTCTCCTTCTGTTGCCCAGGCTGAGTGCAATGGTGTGATCTTGGCCCACTACACCCTCTACCTCCCGGGTTCAAGCAATTCTCCTGCTTCAGTCTCCCAAGTAGCTGTGATTTTTGGGTTAATTTTTGTTTTACCATGTTGTCCAGGCTGGTCTCAAACTCCTGACCTCATGTGATCTGCCGGCCTTGGCCTCCCAAAGTGCCAGGATTGCAGGTGTTGAGCCACTGTGCCTGCCCTGATGACAAATTTTCTAAAATCCCCCCTCCCAAATTATTGTCTGTGCAATAAATGACAAAAAAAAAGAGAAACATTCTAAGAAAATAGTCGTTAAAAGTTGATGTGTCAGAATTGTAACAATCCTTTTTTTTTAAGAGAGGATTTCGCTGAAAAAGCTTTTTAGAAAAATATTGCTCCCTATAAAAAAAACTTTTCCACCTTTTCTAACTTTTTTTTTTTTTTTTCCGGAGACATATGAGAAGACCAAATCTATTCAAAGTCAACATTTTTTGGCGGGGCATGGTGGCTCATGCTTGTAATCCCAGCACTTTGGGAGGCCGAGGCGGGCAGATCACCTGAGGTCAGGAGTTCCAGACCAGCCTGACCAATATGGAGAAACCCCCTCTCTACTACTAAAAATACAAAACTAGCTGGATGTGGTGGCACATGCCTGTAATCCCAGCTACTCGGGAGGCTGAGGCAGGAGAATATCTTGAATCCCGGAGGCGAAGGGTGAGCCGAGATCGCGCCATTGCACTCCAGCCTGGGCAAAAAGAACCCAAAAAAACAAGACAAAGTCAAGCATTTTTTAAGCACAAGGTGGAAGCATCACGCTGGGAAGACAGAAGGTGTCCATTAACAGTAGACTCTTTTTGGAGATGGAGTTTTGCTCTTTTGCCTAGGATACAGTGAAGTGGTGCGATCTCAGCTCACTGCAACCGCTGCCTGTCCCCATACACAGGATCAAGCGATTCTCCCGCCTCAGCCTCCCAACAGGTGCACGCCACCGTGCCCGGTTAAGTTTTGTATTTTTAGTAGAGACGGGGTTTTGCTATGTTGGCCAAGTTGGTCTTGAACTCCTGACCTCAGGTGATCTTCCTGCTTCAGCCTTTCAAAGTGCTGGGATTACAGGTGTGAGCCACCGCGCCTGGTCGACTTTTTTTTTTTTTTTTTTTTTTTTTCTCGTTTTTTGAGACGGAGTCTTGCTCTGTCTCCAGGCTGAAGTGCAGTGGCGCAATCTTGGCTCAATGCAGCCTCCGCCTCCCGGTTCCGCCTCCCGGTACCGCCTCCCGAAGTGATTCTTCCGCCTCAGCCTTCCGAGTAGCTGGGACTGCAAGCACGCACCACCACGCCTGGCTGATTTTTGTATTTTTTGGTAGAGACGGGGTTTCACCATGTTGGTTAGGCTGGTCTCGATTTCTTGACCTCGTGATCCGCCTACCTCGGCCTCCACAGGGTGAACCACTGTGCCCGGCCTTTTTTTTTTTTTTGAGGCAGTCTCTCACTCTGTCACCAAGGTTGGAGTGTAGTGGTGCTATCTCAGCTCACTGTAAACTCTGCCTCCCAATTTCAAGTGATTCTCCTGCCTCAGCCTCCTGAGTAACTGGAATTACAGGCGTGCACGCCACCATACTTGGCTAATTTTTGTATTTTCAGTAGAGATGGGGTTTTGCCATGTTGGCCAGGCTGGTTTCGAACTACTGATATCTGGTGATCCACTTCCCTCAGCCTCCCGATGTGCTGGGATTACAGGTGTGAAGCACTACACTTGGCCAGCGGTAGACTCTTAACAGCACTGAGAGCACTCCAAGACAGCATGATGTGTATCCGGGTACTATCAATCAGATTTGTGATTTCAGGGTCTTTGCCGTCACTGGTTACAAGGTGGTGAATCAGATGGAGCAGGAGTTCCCGCCCAACAGTCTGTATGTGTAAAGAGAAAAGAGGACAATATTAGGGTCAGAGACAATAAGGAAAGCAGTCCCTACAGCACAAATTCCCCAACAGGGGTCTGCGCACGTGGTATCTCCGACCCAAACCAGTTTGTAAGACCACCCTTTCTCAGGCATGCTTATGCTGTGACAAGTGGCAATCAGGTGGCAGTCAGTCATGGGGTGTGCTGAAAATGTTAGTAAGAGTTAAAGTACCTATTTGTAAATAGCTTACACATTACAAAAACGAATTCGAGTGGAATAAGTCTTCTTTTTCTTTTTTTTTTTTTTTGAGACAGTCTCACTCTGTCACCGAGGCTGGAGTACAGCGGTGCAATCTTGGCTCATCGAAACCTCTGTCTCCTGGGTTCAAGTGATTCTCCTGCCTCAGCTTCCTGAATAGCTGGAATTACAGGCATGTGCCACCACACCGAGGTAATTTTTGTATTTTTAGTAGAAATGGGGTTTCACTATGTTGATCATGCTGGTCTCGAATACTTTGTATTTTTAAAAAACTGGTTCACTTTTTACTTACCTTAAAATGAAACTTCGTATCATTACCACTTTTCTGGATTTATATTTCTAATATACATTAAGTAAAAGCATGACTATTAAAATGTTAAAAACCATCATATCCACCTAAAATTGGCTTACATATCAACAAGGACTGGGAAATTGAATGTCTGTGAGAGATCTTGCTTTCTAATCCCTGCCCAGGAGAGAGATTATTTTTCTTGTTTAAAAATGAGTGTAAATTTCAGCCTTTCTGCTTAGACTACCTGGAGTTCTCCCTGTCACTCCAGGTTCTAGGAATCTGCTTCAGAAGAGCCAATGTTGTTGAGGGTTAGTAAAGGGGAACTCACAGCAGCAGGTGAGTAGATGAGGAGAGTGCTGCAGTGACATTCACGTGCAGGAAAAGATTTCAAGGAGCCTCAGAGGAGAATTTCCAATTAATGACTTCACTGTAGGACCTCAACATTGTGACAAAGGACAAGTGATCCTTGGATGACAACTCCTTACTTGATTCCCTCACTGGCACATAAGGAGAACACATTTTAAAAATTTGTTATCCTAATGAATATAGAATAATTAAAATTGGGAGTAAGAAAACCTGGGGCTGGGGTAGTGGTTCACACCTGTAATCCCAGTACTTTGGGAGGCCGAGGCGGATGGATCATGAGGTCAGGAGATTGAGACCATCCTGGCCAACATGGTGAAACCCTGTGTCTACTAAAATAGAAAAAAATTAGCCTGGTATGGTGGCGCACCTCTGTAGTCCCAGCTTCTCAGGAGGCTGAGGGAGGGGAATCGCTTGAACCCAGGAGGCGGAGGTTGCAGTGAGCTGAGATTTCGCCACTGCACTTCAGCCTGGGGACAGAGTGAGATTCCGTCTCAAAAATAAATAAATAAATAAAATAATCAATAATTATCCAGGCATGGTGATGCACACCTGTGGCCCCAGCTACTCAGGAGGCTGAGGTAGAAGATGGCTTGTGCTGCCCAGGAGTTTGAGGCAGAAGTGAGCTGAAATTGCACCACTGCAGTCCAGCCTAGATGACAGAGTGAGAACCTGTCTCAAAATAAATAAATAAATAAATAAAATAAAAAAGAAAGAAAGAAGGAAAGAAAATTTGGGATATGTGAATTATAGATTCATAGGCAACCATAAAATTTAGAGTCGGATTATATTGAATTCTGACTTTAACTTTTTTTCTATTCATTTTTTATCTTCCTCTTCCACTACCTTGATTTTTTTTTTTTTTTTTGAGACAGAGTCTCAATCTGTTGTCCAGACTGGAGTGCAGTGGTACAGTGTTGGCTCACTGGACCCTCTGTCTTCGGGGTTCAGGCAATTCTCCTGCCTCAGCCTCCTGAGTAGCTGGGATTACAGGCACCCACCACCAAGCCCAGCTAATTTTTGTATGTTTAGTATAAATAAACACTCACATACAGATAGTGTTCTGCTGTAACTCTTAGTTGGACAGATTGAAAAAAACCAGTGTTAACTTTTGAAACTAATTTCATTAAAACTAAGTTTCTGTACAAACAGGTACTCAGAACAGCTCAATTTTCTAAATTACAGCACAGCAATTTACTTTTTTTCCTTACATATCCGGAAGAAAATTCAGATGAATTATCTGGCGAACAACAAAGAAAACGCCACAAATCTGATAGTATTTCCCTTTCCTTTGATGAAAGCCTGGCTCTGTGTGTAATAAGGGAGATATGTTGTGAAAGAAGCAGTAGCAGTGAATCTACAGGGACGCCATCGAATCCGGTAATGTTCTCATTTTCAAGGACTCATACTGTTACAGTCTAGTCCTGGCAGTCCTAATAAGCATACTGGTAGAATGTACGTGTGTCTTATGAGATTGATGCAAAACACAGTACTAAATTTTACTTTAAAATAAAACTATATTGATCTCCACCTTCAACCCCAGGTATTGTGAGTGTTGAAAATAGTGGAGTAACACTGGTATTGGTAAAATTAGTAGTAGTATTAGTCATTATCAATGTCACCCTAAGTATTAGAGAATATTTATGGACCACTGACCAATACATTGGAGTATAGAGTTGTTTGAGAATTTTGAAGTTGTACTTTTTAGAAAATAAAAGAACAAAACAAAAAATTTACTTCAGTTAAATATTTTAGCATTTTAAGGCAAATTTGTCTTGACTATTTAGAGTAAAACTATCTTTAATTACAGCCATCAGCAAAAACATCAGCATAGTCTGAGCTTATCACTTGCCAAATAGGTCTAGACATCAGGTAAGTTCTATTTACCAACACTGTGAAATACAGGTTTTTTATTGCATGAATGACAGGAGACTATTCTGTATTTCTGATTATGAATACAGAATTCCAAAATATTAGCAAGCAGAATTTCTTAAGAGATGTCACTGAAAGAAGTTTGGTTAAAAAAAAAATGTTAACAAGAATGCTTGACAAGTGGAATATTTTCTTTTGTATGTCTTTAAACAAGCTTGTCAACCCATGCCCCGTGGGCCAAATGGCAGGATGGCTTTGAATGCAGCCCAACATAAATTCATAGTTTCTTAAAATGTTATAAGATTTTTTTACAATGTTCTTTTTCCGCTCTTCAGCTGTTGTTAGTGTTAGTGTATTTTACGCGTGGCCCACCACGACAATTCTTCTTCTTCTAACGTGGCCCAGGGAAGTCAAAATATTGCATACCTTTTTTTGTAATGAGGCGGTGTCTCATGGTCATTATTCTGGATATTGGTAATCATTGTGTAGGTCTCTAGAAGATGTAGGAGATGGAACCAATTGTGATAGTCATCCTAGTCTTTTACCTTTTACATATTCTTGTTACCTTCTGTATTATCTTTATATTTTTCTCTTCCATAGTAGTGACTGTATGAACGCACACCTGCCCTCTGGAGTTAGTACTGTGTATAACGGAGCTGTTACTCGTGTAGACCGCTAGATGGCAGGATGAGCTCCTGCTTAGTCTGAAAGCAGGTTCTTCGTGTGTGTGTGTATTTTTTTTTTTTTTTTTTAACGGAGTTTCGCTCTTGTTACCCAGGCTGGAGTGCAATGGCGCGATCTCGGCTCACCGCAACCTCCGCCTCCTGGGTTCAGGCAATTCTCCTGACTCAGCCTCCAGAGTAGCTGGGACTACAGGCACGCGCCATCATGCCCAGCTAATTTTTTGTATTTTTAGTAGAGACGGGGTTTCACCATGTTGACCAGGATGGTCTCGATCTCTTGACCCCGTGATCCACCCGCCTCGGCCTCCCAAAGTGCTGGGATTACAGGCTTGAGCCACCGCGCCCGACTCATTTGTAGATATTTAAAGTTTTTACCAGATTCCATACAGTTGAGATGGCACTGCAGAGAACAGTGGTAGTCAAGGTAGATACGGTTTTGCCTTCATGGGGAGATAGATCATCAATGATAAATATGAAAACATTTAATAAATCTAATGAAAAACAGGTTCTTGAGAGCAAACGTGTGTGATCTGAAAATTAGATTTAATTAAAACTTGATGAGTACACAAACTACAAGTTTGATTAATAAGATAATTACTATCCTCTCTCTCTCCATGTATTTATTTATTCATTGAGATTGTGTCTCATTTATTTATTCATTGAGATTGAGTCTTACTCTATCACCCAGGCTGGAGTGCAGTGGTGCAATCTTGGCTCACTGCAACTTCTGCCTCCCGGGTTCAAGCGATTTTTGCGTCTCAGTAGCTGGTATTACAGGAGCCCGCCGCCACATCCTGCTAATTTTTTTAATTTTTAGTAGAGATGAGGTTTCACTATATTGGCCAGGCTGGTCTTAAACTCCTGACCTCAAGTGATCCGTCCACCTTGGCCGCCAGAAGTGTTGGGATTACAGACTTGAGCCACTGAGCCCAGCCCCGCCCCCCCCATTTAATGTATAGCCTTTGTTAAAGTTATATTAGAATTCTAGCTGAATGATATTTAGAGTCCTTGTTCTTGCTTTGTACCTGGGACAGTGCCTTGTGACTGATACAGGTTTGATGAGTAGAGGAACACCAGTATTTTTGTTTTGGATTGAACTAGATAAAACAACGTGCACACACGTGGAGTGGTTTTAAGGAGCGGAGAGTTTAATAGGTAAGACGGGAGACGGCAGAAGGAAGAATCTACCCGGTACCGAGACAGAGGGAGGGGGGCTCCAAAGCTGAAAGTGGGAGGAGACCTCGCACTCTGAGGATACCAGCCAGTTTTCCGTGGTGGCTGGAGCAGGCGGTGTCTGATTTACATAGGTCTCAGGGGATTGGTTTGACCAGGCATGTTATTTATGTAGCCCGCGAGAAAAGTGGCCCTCCCACCCCAGTCCTTTAAGATGCAAATACAGGGCGCCAGTGCTGTTTTACACTCCTGGAGATATGTGGGGGAGGTCATGCTGTTAGGCAGAAGTCGGGGCATGGGCCAGAGGACAACGGTGGGAGTCACCGAGTTGGGTGGACCCAGATTTTAAGGGCTTGCATTTGCATCTTAAAGGTTACCTGTACAGGTGTAAGAGCCAGGGCTTTTATGCTAGACAAGAAACATTTTTAGAGCTGTGAAAAATCTTCCGAGGACCACTTTTTCTTTCTATTTGCCTAAAATAATTTCTTAATAACCCCACCACATTATCAGAGTGGAGTAGAGCAGTATTTCTTTTTTTCTTTTTGTTAGCCCTGTCCTGCATTCTCTTAAAAAAATCCTATCTATTAAATTCTCTCATTTTTCAGGCTAAGTCCCTAGTTGTGAAAGCTTTTGGTAGGGCCAGGGTTTTTTTTTTTCTTCTTCTTCTTAATTTGAATTTCTCTCATTTGAGAATGTTATAGTCATCACTGGGTGGCATCATTTATTTACAGTTTGTGAAAGTGCATTACTCTCCCATCTTTTCTTTCTTTGGGGTTTAATAAATTGTGGGAAACTAAGACTGTAGCCACGCAGTTTATGTTATGATCTTTTGTCATCTTTGCAGCCTCAAATTCCATTTTTAGCTAAGACTGGGGGTTTTAAATAACTTGTTTCTACAACTCTGTCACAATTGGAATTCAAACAATTCTAGCTATTTTTGGCTACAGAAATATAAGATCTTTGTAGAGCAAGCCTATCTGATGCTTTTTAAATTTTTAAATTTTTTTATTTTTGAGACAGTCTCGCAGTCTGTCGCCCAGGCTGGAGTACAGTGGCATGATCATGGCTTACTGCAACCTCTACCTCCTGGGTTCAAGCAATCCTTCCTCCTCAGCCTTGAGAGTTACCTGGGACTACTACACCTGTGCACCACTACACCTGGCTAATTTTTTTTACTGTTTTTTTTTTTTTTTCAGAGACGAGGTCTCAGCCTTTTTCCAATGCTGGACTCAAACTGCCAGGCTTAAGTGATCCCCCTGCATTGTCTCCCAGAGTGTTGGGATGACAGGCATGAGCCACCACTCCCAGCCTGATGCTTTTGAAACCTACAGTATTTAATAGTTTCTGGGGCATTCTTTTGTGAACATGAGCCAGAACTTTTTAAAACCCCTCATAATTGCATTTTTTATAGTTCCCTAGGATAGGAGTTGGCAGACTTTCTGCAAAGAGCCAGGCAGTTAATTATTTGGGCTCTGCAGGGCCATGTTTTCTGTCACAGCTACTCAGCCCCACTCTTGCAATGCAGGAGCATCCACAGACAACAAGTAAACACATGGGCATGGCTGTGCTCAATCAAACTTTATTAATACAAATAGTGGGTGATGGGCCACAGGTGCAGACCCCTACCACTGAGTTTGTTTTCTGAGACTGAATGTTCCATGTGATTTACCCCCTTATTCTAAAATTAGCGCACTAAGGACTTGAGTTGAAGTATTTGGTTTGTTGGGTTACTTTGTTAGGGATGTTGATTGTATCCTAACTTGACTTATGATTCTAACGTGATTGTCAGCAGAGCCCTTGTTAGGAATTAGAGCTGAAGCTTGATGAATGTTTTTACTACTCTTTCCTAACATGACTCTACAGAAGTCTTTTGACATCAGAGGCCATAAAAGTATATACTTTGTTTCTGTTTTTAGAACTGAGGTAGATATCATTTAATTTAAGGTCCTTTTCTAGAAGTAGCAATAGCCTTTAGAAGTTAAATGATCTGGGCTGGGCACAGTGGCTCATGACTGTAATCCCAGCACTTTGGAAGGCCAAGGCAGATCACTAGAGGTCAGGAGTTCAAGACCAGCCAGGCCAGCATGGTGAAACTCCATCTCCAATAAAAGTATAAAAATTAGCCTGTAATCCCAACTTCTTGGGTGGCTGAGGCAGGAGAATATCTTGAACCCTGAAGGTGGAGGTTGCAGTGAGCCTGGATTGTGCCACTGTGTTCCAGCTGGGGCAATAGAGTAATTCTCTGTCTCAAAAAAAAAAAAAAAGTTAAATATGTATGTAAGTGTTAAATTGGCAAGTGTAGAATAAGTCATATCCTAACTGCCAGACTTTTTCCAGTTGTAGCCTTCTACTTCATATATGCTCTTACTCTTAGCCACTATGGGCCTGAAGGCCTTATTAGGTTCTTGTACAATTTATTAAAGTCTTGAAATGAGGTATCAGATGAGCAGCTACAGATTTTTTTAAAAAATTGTCTAAAGGCTCTTTAAAAGGAAATCTCAATGTTTATTAAAAAACGTAAGTATCTGTGACTTGAGACATTTTTCTAAGGAAAAAAACCCTTAAGTATCATAAATGTTGTGTCTTGTTACTTGCATTCTACTAATGTGGACATATAAAGATGAGTAAGACAGGTTTTAGCTCAAAAGTAAATATAATTCAGATGAGAAACATGCCTGCAAAATTATGTTTTGCATAATTTATGTGTGAGACGATGTAATTCAGTATTCTACAAGTAGTAAGATTAATTAAACATGGAGGAGCCTTTTCAGTTATGATATTGACGAAAGCTTAGTCAAAGAAGGATGAATGGGATTTTGAAAGTGTGAAATTATTCTAGTGAGGGGGAAGGTGTGGAAGTTGAAATGCCAAGATTAGTTGAAGAAGCATCTAGATCTGGTGGGATTGTCCGTATTTAGTAAGGGAGGAGAGATATGTAGTTGAAGACAGATGAAGATGTTAATATAATCACACTGTCTGTACCTTCAGTGCCAAGAGGCTTTGGTTTTTTTTCACTTTATGCAGTGGAGTTTTGCACAGGGAAATAATGTAGAAATAACCTTGAAACCTTAATCTAGTGGCAGTGTGCAGGATGGATCTGAGGAGGAAATAGAGGCATAGGGATGAGTTAGGAAGCTGTTACATAGGCCAAGAGGTGATGTTTATTAAGTTATATATTTTTTCTTATTTTAGGATCTGGATGCTGGTGTAAGTGAACATTCAAGTGATTGGTTGGATCACGATTCAGTTTCAGATCAGTTTAGTGTAGAATTTGAAGTTGAATCTCTCGACTCAGAAGATTATAGCCTTAGTGAAGAAGGACAAGAACTCTCAGATGAAGATGATGAGGTAGTATTTTACCCCCCTGATTATGTTGGAAAATTATTAAATATTTTCCATGCTCATTGCCTTTGAGAATGAAATCATAATATATTCAGATTTCACTTGAAATCCTAGCCTCTTGATTTGTTCAGACTAACGTATTAGCTTGTGGACTTGAGGATTTCATAGTTCTTCATCACTTGAGTTATATTCTTATGTTACTACTAATGCCAAGAAGTCAATAGGCCTCGATGAACGTGCTTATTGTAACAGTCTGTTCACTTTTAAAAATATTTAATTCAATTACTGTTTTAATATTAACTTGCTTTTTGTAAAAGTAAAACATGCATACAGTTAAAGTCAAATAGTACCCTCAGAGATCTGTTTCCCAGAAGTGGCTGCCTTCAGCATTTCTAGCCATTTTCCTGTTATTTAATGTCTCCATATAATTTGTTTATAAAATAAAACCACTGAGCTGAATGTTTTGCTTTATTCATCCTAAACATCCTTTGTATTGACTTTTCCCATTGTGGGTGAGGATTTCTCTCTCTTCCGTTTTTCCCCCTTTATACTCACTCTATTTGATGTCCTCTAGGACTTTCTCATATATTGAAGTAGATGATATTTGTTTAGGCTAGAATTACTAGAAAGGCTTCTGGTTGAAGGAAAAAGGGTGATGAATTCATGCTAATGAATTTGTTTTATTAGGTATATCGAGTTACTGTGTATCAGGCAGGGGAGAGTGATACAGATTCATTTGAAGAAAATCCTGAAATTTCCTTAGCTGTAAGTATATATCTACTCTTTTAAGAAATCAAAAAATTACATTAAGGTCAAGATGAGGAAAATATGTCTATCTTACTTTCTGAAATGAGCTGATTTTTATAAAGTTAAAATGTTTTTGTAAAGTCTGAATAATTTAAAGCATTTTTCTTTTCTTTGTTGTGATGAAACCTGTAGCTATAATTTTTACTTTTAGGTGTAGAATTTGAATTTCTTTTTTTTAAACAGGGTTTCACTCTGTCTCCCAGGCTGGAGTGTAGTGGTGCAATCTTGGTACACTGCAGCCTCCAGTTCCCAGGCTCAAGTAAGTCACTTTTGTGCCTGAGCCTCACAAGTAGCTGGGATTATAGGTGTGCATTACCACGCCCAACTAATTTTTGTATTTTTAGTAGAGAAGGGGTTTCAACATGTTGGCCAGGCTGGCCTCAAACCCCTGGCTTCCAGTGATCTTCCCACCTTGGCCTCCCAAAGTGCTGGGATTACAGGCATGAGCCACTGCACCCAGCTGAATTTGTGCTTTTTGATGTTGTTTTTGAAAAATTCAGTTTTCAATACTCATTATGCAGCTTTAACTATTACCAACATTTTGCCAGTCTTGTCAAACATAAACTTTATTTTTTTTTTAATTGAGATAGGGTCCCGCACTGTCATCTGGAGTGCAGTGATGTGATCATGGCTCACTGCAGCCTCCACCTTCCAGGCTAAGTGATTCTCTTTCCTCAGTGTCCTGAGTAGGTGGGACTACAGGTGCATGCCATCACACCCAGTGATTATCTTTTTTTTTGTAGCGATGTCACCATGTTGCCCAGGATGGTCTTAAACTCCTGGGCTCAAGTGATCCACCTGCCTCAGTCTCCCGAAGTGCCAGAATTTTAGGGGTGAGCCATCACGCCCTGCCAAATGTAAACATTTTTATTATTATAGAACGTGGTAGGATTTGCTTAATTTTTTTTGCAACAGAGTCTCGCTCTGTTGCCCAGGCTGGAGTGCAGTGGTGCTATCATGGCTCATTGCAACCTCCACCTCCCAGGTTCAAGTGATTCTCCTGCCTCAGCCTCCCAAGTAGCTGGGAATATAGGCACACACCACCATGCCGAGCTAATTTTTTTTTTTTTTTTTGTATTTTTAGTAGCGACGGGGTTTCACCATGTTGGCCAGGGTGGTCTCGACCTCTTGACCTGGTGATCTGGCCACCTTGGCCTCCCAAAGTGCTGGGATTACAGGCATGAGGCACCATGCCTGGCCCTGGATTTGCCATTTTTGTTCTTAATATTTCCTTTATTATAATTGGTTTCACCATGTTGGCCAGGGTGGTCTCGACCTCTTGACCTGGTGATCTGGCCACCTTGGCCTCCCAAAGTGCTGGGATTACAGGCATGAGGCACCATGCCTGGCCCTGGATTTGCCATTTTTGTTCTTAATATTGCCTTTATTATAGTTGAATAGGAAATAAATTTTATTTTTTTCTGAGTTATAAACAGTTACTAATTATCCGAATGCAAAAAAGATGAAAGTATAAGTTTCCAAAATTTTTACTGTATTAGAAAATAAATTAAATAACTAGTTGAATCATTTGATGTCAAGTTGCCTAAGATATTTTGGATACTTTTTATTTTTTAAATCTATTTTAAGACCCATTAAAATTACTTTAGATATTGATCTTGCAATGGATTAGACTTTTTGATGCCCTTTTACTCCCATATTGCAAGACCTTTTTCTTTGGTTTTTATGAGCTGTGAAAACCCCCTTCTATAACTTGATAAAACCAACGTGGAAGAATGAATGGGCTCTATCATTATTGCTCCTGTCTTAACGTCATTTGTGAGGTAATCAGTTACGGAAAGACCTCTTACTGATGAAATTTCACTTGTAACATGTCCTTAGGCAGGAACCATGCTTCCATTAAGGCAAGAAGATAGGTTACCTAAAAAGGCTGGGGATGTGGGAGAATTTGTTATTGCATGGTGGAAAAGTTTGAGGGAAAACACGCTGGGAAAAAAAAGAAGCATGAGGAGTTACAGAGATGAGAACACAGGAAAGGATAGACAAGTAAAGGGCATATGTTATGGTTAGTGGCCAAGGTTGATAGGTTTCAGCGGCAATACTCGCTGTGAAAATGTTTTAGCATTTCTCTTGTGGATGGAGTTAGGGAACACTCAGTCGAGCCATGGTTTTAGAGTACTTCTAAGGTAGTTCTAGTCACTGATGGATTAGGAAGTCTTTCTCTACGAGGCAGGTTTCATCCAGATTGATTGGATGGCTTCTAGGAATAGCATCTGGGGTTGAGCCTTTAAGGGAGTTGAGGTTAGGCTGCATTACAGAGTCAAAGATCCCATATAATTGCTTCAACTAAAGGAAACAACTGTAATTATATCCTGAAACAGATAACTGTACAGGTACTTGATTAATATCACAGTGAATACATATTTATTTATTTATTGCATTTTAGGTTTTGGAGTACATGTGAAGAACATGCAAAATTGTTGCATAGGTACACACATGGCAGTGTGATTTGCTGCCTTCCTCCCCATCACCTATATCTGGCATTTCTCTCCATGCTATCTCTCCCAAATTCCCCACCCTCTGCTGTCCCTCCCCTATTTCCCCCTGACAGACCCCAGTGTGTGATGCTCCCCTCCCTGTGTCCATGGGTTCTCATTGTTCAATCCCCACCTATGAATGAGAAAATGCAGTGTTCGATTTTCTGTTCTTGTGTCAGTTTGCAGAGAATGATGGTTTCTAGATTGATCCATGTCCCTACAAAGGACACACACTCATTGTTTTTTATGGCTGCATAGTATTTCATGGTGTATATGTGCCACATTTTCCCTGTCCAGTCTATCATCGATGGGCATTTGGGTTGGTTCCAGGTCTTTGCTATTGTAAACAGTGCTGCAATGAACATTAGTGTGCATGTATCCTTATAAGAGAACAATTTATAATCCTTTGCATATATATCCAGTAATGAGATTGCTGGGTCAAATGGAATTTCTATTTCTAGGTCCTTGAGGAATCATCACACTGTCTTCCACAATGGTTGAACTAATTTACACTCCCACCAACAGTGTAAAAGTGTTCCTATTTCTCCACATCCTCTCCAGCATCTGTTGTCTCCAGATTTTTTAATGATCGCCATTCTAACTGGCGTGAGATGGTATCTCAATGCAGTTTTGATTTGCATTTCTCTAATGACCAGTGATGATGAGCATTTTTTCATATGTTTGTTGGCCTCATGTATGTCTTCTTTTGTAAAGTGTCTCTTCATATCCTTCGCCCACTTTTGAATGGGCGTGTTTTTTTTTTTTTTTTTTTAAATCTGTTTTAGTTCTTTGTAGATTCTGGATATCAGCCCTTTGTCATATGGGTAGATTGCAAAAATTTTTTCCCATTCTGTTGGTTTCTGATTCACTCTATTGACTGTTTCTTTTGCTGTGCAGAAGCTGTGGAGTTTGATTAGGTCCCATTTGTCTATTTTGGCTTTTGTTGCCAATGCTTTTGGTGTTTTGGTTATGAAGTCCTTCCCTATGCCTATGTCCTGAATGGTTTTGCCTGGATTTTCTTGGAGGGTTTTTATGGTGTTAGGTCTTATGTGTAAGTCTTTAATCCATCTGGAGTTAATTTTAGTGTAACGTGTCAGGAAGGAGTCCAGTTTCTCCTTTCTGTACATGGCTAGCCAGTTTTCCCAACACCATTTATTAAACAGGGAATCCTTTCCCCATTGGTTGTTTTTGTCAGGTTTGTCAAAGATCAGATGATTGTAGATGTGTGGTGTTTCCTCCAAGGCCTCTGTTCTGTTCCATTGGTCTATATCTTTGTTTTGGTACCAGTACCATGCTGTTTTTATTACTGTAGCCTTGTAGTATAGTTTGAAGTCCATTAGTGTGGTGCCTCCAGCTTTGATCTTTTTGCTTAGAATTGACTTGGCTATGTGGGCTCTCTTTTGGTTCCATATGAAGTTTAAGGTGACTTTTTCCAGTTCTGTGAAGAAGGTCATTGGTAGCTTGATGGGGATAGCATTGAATCTGTAAATTACTTGGTGCAGTATGGCCATTTTCACGATATTGATTCTTCCTAACCATGAGCATGGAATGGTTCTCCATCTTTTTATGTCCTCTCTTATTTTGTTGATCAGTGGTCTGTAGTTTTCCTTGAAAAGTCCTTGACATTCCTTGTTAGTTGTATTCCTAGGTATTTTATTCTGTTCGTAGCAATTGTGAATGGCAGTTTGTTCTTGATTTGGCTCTCTTTAAGTGTGTTATTGGTGTATAGGAATGCTTGTGATTTTTGCACATTGATTTTGTATCCTGAGACTTTGCTGAATTTGCTTCTTTGTTTCAGGAAATTTTGGGCTGAGACAATGGGGTCTTCTAAATATACAATCATGTTGTCTGCAAATAGAGACAATTTGACTTCCTCCTTTCTTTATTTCTTTTTCCTGCCTGAGTGCTCTGGCTAGAACTTCCAGTACTATATTGAATAGGAGTGGTGAGAGAGGGCATCTTTGTCTAGTGCCAGATTTCAAAGGGAATGCTTCCAGTTTTTGCCCATTCTGTAAGATATTGGCTGATTTGTTGTAAATAGCTTTTATTATTTTGAGATATGTTCCATCAATACCTAGTTTATTGAGGGTTTTTAGCATAAAGGGCTGTTGAATTTTGTTGAAGGCCTTCTCTGCATCAGTTGAGATAATCATGTGGTTTGTCTTTGGTTCTGTTTATGTGGTGAATTATGTTTATAGACTTGTGTTTGTTGAACCAGCCTTGCATCCCCGGGATGAAGCCTGCTAGATCACAGTGGATAAACTTTTTGATGTGCTGTTGCAATCAGTTTGCCAGTATTTTATTGAAGATTTTTTGCATTTATGTTCATCATGGATGTTGCCCTGAAGTTTTTTTTTCTTGCTGAGTCTCTGCCGGGTTTTGGTATCAGGATGATGTTGGTCTCATAAAATGATTTGGGAAGGTTTCCCTTTTTTTGGATTGTTTGGAAGAGTTTCAGAAGGAATGATACCAGCTTCTCTTTGTATGTCTGGTAGAATTCAGCTGTGAAC